AAAGTTGTGCATCTATGTGCTTCAAATTTATGGTTTCCTGCACAAACATCAAAGGGATCTGCAATGAAATAAGAGCTAGGCCAGGAACCAGTCTCATGACTTATGGTATCAGCCATGAACAACCAAAAAGAGGGAGAAACAAGGCTCAAATGTCTACCACAGAAAGCCAGAGGAAGGGCAGAGGAAGATTTTTTGGGGGAGAATCTGCCATGTCCTAAGCTCCTTGTAATGCAAACTAGCCAAATTAGAAAGCAATTTTATTACCATTGGAGTGTATGAAAGAATGGGACTCTCCTCCCCTTACCAATGGGTGGGCATTATTTCATTTCATTCCCATTGGATGCAGTGAAGACAATTAAACTACTACACGACCTGGCCTGCCAGAATTTTCTGGCCACTTTGAAAGCACACAAGAGGAATAGGAGGGCTTGCAATCCTCCAGAGAGAAGCCCTTCCTAAATCCATCTCAGGCACACCCCTTTTGAGATTGTCTCAGTATATCAACACACTAAAAAAATAAATAAATAAGCAATTGCAGCAATATTATTGAGATATTGGGAATTATTTTGTAAAGAAATAAAGGGAGGGAGGGAGAGAGAGAGGGAAAGAAACAAAAATATGTTGAAATGTTTGCTAAGAATAATCCTATCACTGATCACAAAGACCTAGCCATGTTTGCTTGAATACAAGGAGATCTTGTAGCACCTTTGGGACTAACTGAGTGAAAGAAAGAAGTTGGTAGTATAAGCTTTTGTAGGCTTACATCTGCTTCCCCAATGTAGCTGAACCATTGATCAGTTATTCATGGTGTCAGCTTGTCATTATACTCATATTTCAGTACATGTCCATTTCATGTAATTTTCCAGACTATGCCAGAATCAATGGTTTTCATTTCTAGGAGATTATCGCACCACTAATAAAACCGGCTTACCTGAGCCAGCTTAAAATTTAAAATGGGTGGCATCCTGATGTTATAAGAGGGATTTAGCTGCCAGAATTGCCTCCCAAGTCCAACCAGGTCCAGCCATGCTCTCAGGGCTGCTCCGGCAGCCATTTCCTTAAACTGGAAAATTCCTGACTTCGAAAAGAGGCACGCTGAGTGGCCCTGGGAGTGAGGATGGACCCAGGATGGACCCAGATGGTGATTTTGGTGGCTAAATCCTTCTGATAACATTAGGATGCCATCAGTTTTAAATTTTAAGCTGGCTCAGGTAAGTCGGTTTTATTAGCAGTGTGATAATCTCCCTAGATATTGTCACCTGGATAATTCATCTGTAAGAATGGTGTGTGTGCCTGTGTGCGTGTGCGCGTGCTGGGGTTTGTTTCTGTGTTTTCCCCAAACATGGAATGTCATGAGATGGTGATTTTCATTTTTGATTACTCTTACTTTAGTTTAGTTTTGTTTTGATTTTTAGTATAGATTTTTAAGGGTATCTTCATTGGTTGCAGATCTATGATGCGGTGGAACTCAGTGTGGCACGTAATGGATGTACAGGGAGAATTATGCATTTTTCTACAAGTCAACATACTGTGGTTCAACCTAGCACAAAATGCGTACCTGTCCACTTTCCAGTTTGTTGTCTCAGGTCTAGAAATTACATGGCTGTAACTTTCAATTAGCACATTACATGGATGTATTTCATCCCTATGACCCCTCCCCACTCTTTCATCTCCTCTCCTATCCCTTAGTGACCACACAAATAGATGCTTAAAGAGAGATAATAAAGCCTTTTCCAGTATACAGTGGCATAAATGAGCATCTCTCTGCAAAGCACTGCAGAATTATGCTCATTTGCTGAAGCCAGCCATCTTTAGTACCCAGAGGGGATCCTCAACGCTTCCTTAAAAATTCATTTGTTCTTTAATTAAGGAACATGCTTTTCTCCCCCTAATTAACAAACCAACAGTCTAATATAAATAGATCTCCAAACATTGCTGCTTTGATTATTCTATGCCTGGGAAACAGGTTGTGCCAGAAGTGTTTTAATAGAAGAGATCCAGACAGTGAAAATTGAGATATGATTTCATTTTCATCCAAGACTTACTGGGAGTAATTTCACTTGAGGAGGATGCAAATGTTCTCCACTGTATTTTTGATGGCTCCAAGAGTGAAAAGTATGAATGGTCCTAGGGATGTGGATGGAAGAGCAGCTTTCATCTATTTCACATCACTGGCCCATTGCTGCTACAGTGGACCTCTCAGAAGCCATTGGTAGACATAGAAACTCCTTTTTACAAACTCTTTGTACTGAGAATAAATGGTGAATTGCCTCTCTTGAAATATTCTAAGAATAGAAATTGACATTTCAAAATGATTGCCGCTCCCTCCCAATATGTGATGTGTGTATCTGCATATTTGCCTTCAAGTCTGCTGTTGACTTATGGCAACCACACAAATTTCATAGGGTTTTCTTAGGCAAGGACTACTTAGAAGCAGTTTTGCCACTTCCTTCCTCTGAAATCCAGTGGTTCCTCTACTTTGGTCTCAGAAGCCCCAGTCAGCTTGTCCAACAGTCAGGAATTCTGGGAGAGGAAGTTCAAAATATCTGGAAGACCAAAGTTTGGGAACCAGTGCTCTAAGATATGGCCTACAGCACCTGGTATTCCTTGGCAGTCCAAGTACTAACAAGGGGTGACCATGCTTAGCTTCCAAGATTAGACAGGATCCGGAGCCTTTAGGGTTTTCTTGGACAAACTCCCCATGCTACTTTTTAAAAACACCAATTTCCCAACCACTTCCAGAGTTTTATTTATATGAAATTTTGGACTATTGTTGTGGCCTCAGAGTGTTACAAGGCAGAAAACTTTCCTCCCCAAACCTGAGGTTGCCCACCTCAGATTTACAGTCTGGCAAGTCAAGAGATGAACTCCAAACCATTCTCCAGCAGGATTCTTTGGGAAAACTTGCCCTTTTACATCTTTCATCATACCTAGTCCTGCAGCTTCTACAGCTTCTTCGCAACAAGATCATCACTTAACAGTCTTCATGGGGAAACATCAAAAGTTCTTGTAGCCATTGAACACTCACTGTGAAGTGTGCAACCCATACAAACAATTGTTTTTGATGTTGCCCTGAATATTTTTATTCATATCATTAGAACTAGCAATAGTCTAATTGCATGCCTGTAATTTACTTGCAACTATTCTCCACTGATCAATCAAGCTGTTCTTATTTTCACATGACTGCAGGGAGAATGTTATAAATGCCATCATTCTGAGTATTTTGAGTAAAAGATGCAGGACAGAACAATTTAAAGAATTAGGCTACAACTGAGAAAAGGTGATAGCCTATAGGTGAAGCCCACATAACTCCAGAGCTAATATGGAGTGATTGTTACCCATCTTTAAACATCTGAAGAGCCTTCATGTGGAACATGGAGTAAAAGTAAAGAGATGGAACAGATACTCTCAGAAGATGCTGAACAGACCTTGAAAGGTGGTTTAAAAGCAGAGTTTAGATAGATAGTTATCTGTCGAATCTGGTACTGGCAGGGACTGGACTCTGTGTGCCTTCCAATTGAAAAGTCTATGATTCAATGATGAATTAATTCAAGTTCATTTTATAAGAAACTACAGGTGAGTCAACACATGGAAAATGATTCTATCGATCAGTGGGTTGCATTCACTCCATCCTGGCGATTAATATATAAGAGCATAAATAATTACACCTTGCAGGTAGTATGAGAAGAACTATAATTTGTAATTGGATTTGATTAGTTCTGTTCTGTTTGGCCAACAGAAAATTTAATATCTATACTTCTTCCTACCATTATTACTCTCTGATTAGGTCCTCACATTGATTTGTTGTGTGCCATCAAGTCATTTCTGATTTATGGTAACCCTACGGTGAACCTTTCACAGGATTTTCTTGACAAACTTTGTTCAGAAGGGGTTTGCCATTGCTTTCCTCTGAGGTTGAGAGTGTGTGACTTGCCCAAGGTCCCCCAGTGAGTTTCCATGACACAGTGGGTGAGGGAAAGATCTCCATAAGCTGAGGCAGTGAATCATTAAAACACCTTGGATTATGTTCAAGGACACACTTATCTGTGTGTTTAGTAGCAGAGGCAACAAAAATGCTAGCAAATATGTTCTTCTGCTGGAGGTACATTGTATTGGTGCAGGGAGTGTGTCTATTCTATCTGCTGGCTAGCAAAAACTCTTCAGAGTACCTCCTGTTGTTTTCCCCGAGGTTGTTAGAATCACAGGTCATAGACTAGAAGAGATCCTGCCGTGCTCAGCAAATTGAATGCAATTTTCATCATTTGAAAACTTAAGTGGCCCTATTTCTTCCCCTGCCTACGCCCCAGCGGTGATCACAAGGAAAATGGAATTGTACATGCAAAGGAGAAAAAGGAAAGGAAAAACAACAAACCCATCTTTATCATAATCTTCAGAGTCAAACTATGAAACCAATAAAAGAAAGAGAGTGTGGGGGAGCCAAATATGGCTATGGGAACAACATAATTTAGTGTTTTTTTTTTTTTAAAAAAAGACTTAACATTATCCATTTTTTCATGTCAGCTTTGTTATCACCACATTTATCTATTGTCCAGAACTTGAGAAGTTGCTTCTTTGGACTGCAACTACTACAATCTATCAAGGAGTCAAAAAGTAACTTTCCCAAGCTCTGCTAGTACCTTTCAATCACTATTCCCACAATAAGAGTTTGTTTCCATGCACTTGGATATTGATTTGGAGGGAAAAGTAGATACCGTATTTTCCGGCGTATAAGATGACTGGGCGTATAAGACGAC